TATTAAAGGAGTGGCTCTTTTTTGTCTTTTTTTGTTCTGTTTTGGAAACGGTCTCCTCCAAACCCCCCCCAATCCGACCTCCTCCCTGTGTGGGGAGGGGGACGGGCAGCCTGGAGAGGCAGGAGAGAGGAGCAGCAGCTGGGGCTTGGGATAGGGCACTGCAGACTCCCCCGGCAGGTGTGCCAGGTGTGCACAGGACGGGTGGTTTGCATATTTGCATGTTGTAGCGAGTCAGGCAGGAGGAAGTTTGCATATGTGAACATAGATCTCCACAGTCCCTCACAAGAAGACAGACCCACGGTCATGGAGACTCTCACTAAATAAGACAAGTAGTGCAGAGTGGGGCATCCACCCCGTGTAAACGTGCAACACACTCGTGCGAAGGTTGGGTGCTGGACCCAGCCCCAGGGGGCCTGTACTGGGCAGCCACCGTCCTCTCAGGCTGAGGGAAGGGCTCCAGCTGCCTGGGGCAGCTCGCTGGTCAGGGTGTGCCAGCGCTCCAGGGTGGTGTCCAGCTGCCGCAGACAGTCACTCCAGTGCTTCCGGGCCTCTCCCCGGGTGCCTGGCCCCAGGGATACGCCACCTGGGGAGCAGTAGAGGCAGGCGGAATCAGGGCCTGTCTCACTGCAGTCTGCCCCCATCAGCACCACCCAGCAGGCTCCTCCCTCACCAATGAAGTCGTTGGATTTGCCAATGTCATAGTCCCAGACTGTGACTTCCAGTGTCTTGGTGGCCAGAGCCGAGAGCTCCATCTCATAGAAGAACTCCTGGAACAGAGCAAGCCACACCTTCCATGAGGTGCTGCCCCTAGCCCCAGGCCCCCTCGATTCCTGCCCCATTTACCTCATTAAATTCCGGGTTGAGAGTCTTCTTCTTCACACACGTTTTATGCTTGGACTTCTTATCCACGTCTGGCCTCAGGTACCTGCCAAGTTCCAGGGGTATAGGGTAGGGGAGCAGGTTGGTCAGGGACAGGCCAGGCACAGAAGAGGATGAGGCTGGGGGCAGGTCCCTGGGAAGGGGAGGGTGGACCCCAGGGCAAGACAAGGGCTCACGTCTTGACGTAGGGGTCGGAGTAGCCGTTGACATCCATGGCAGCCAGGTGGGCACAGCGCACGATGCCCACTAGCAGCCCCTGGCGCCGGGAGCTGTAGCTGAGGCTCAGCAGAATGCGCCCCCGCTCTTCCAGCAGCCCAGGCCCCTGCTCCACCTGCTCCAGCTGCGGGCAGACATAGGTGTCAGCCTGCATCCTCACCCCTCCCGCGCAGACGTGGTCCCTGGGGGTGGCTCACCTCCTTCAGGTAACAGGAGATGCCTCTCAGCGCCGCAGACATGGAAGAGGGTGAAGCCAACTGAGGGGGCAAAGAGAAAGTACTGGAAGCCTGGTCTCCCCAGGGCCCCCTTCCCCTAGTGTCCCACAGCCCCACACAGACCGGGACCTGGCGTTCAAGGCAGATGTTAAAATGCTTCTTCTGTGAAGGCTTGAGGCGGCGGAGAGGGACGCGGATCTCCCCGATGAACTCATTGTGGCTCAGCTTGTCCTCGTCACAGACGGAGATCCTGGCAGGGAACTGCAGGGTCAAGGCCCCCTGGGGAACCTGAGCCCCACTCCAGTGTAGGAGAGATGTCCTCTGACCAAACTCAGAGCACCTGAGGCTAGTCCTAGCTCTGCCCAGATACTCTGCACCTCACTTGTAAAATGGGCTGTCTCAGGGCTCTGTGGTGAGCACTGGGCCTGGAGCTAGAGAAGGATGCTTTGATTTGCTCTGATCCTCTGCTCCTCCCTTTCCAGCTGCCCAGGCTGTCCCTGGCCTATCAGGACCTGCTCAGCTCCTTGAGGAAGGCCTCACAAATCTTGAGAACACCTCCCCACGCACATAGTGCCTCCATTCAGGGCCTGGGGACAGGATCCTACTGAATGCGCACAGGGTGCGCACCAGTTTGGATGTCCTTGTCGTTTTCTACGTGGAGCAGGGAGCCAGCCTAGGAAGAGACTCATGAGCCCAGCAACCAAGAGCTTTTCCTTCCATCGCCCCTGTTTATAGCCTCCTGCCCTTACTTCTGCTGCGACACTCTTGAGTACTTCTGTCCTGCAGGGGAGTTCAATTCCCAGTGACCACAGGACCTCGGGCAAGTCACTTAACCTCTCTAACACTGTTCCCATTCCTGTCCCTTGAGGCTTCACTCCTTAGAGATGTTAGGGGAACATAGGCAACATAACGGGCAGACCTCCGCTGCACAGGTCTGACTTAAGTCAGGGATTCTGAAAAGGGGTCTTGGTGACCGGGGAAAGATTTCAGGAGCAGGCAGAGCCTCGAATGATGAGTGGGATTTCAGCTGGCAAGAGAGGAAGCAGGAGTGTTTTCCAGGTGGAAGAGACACAGCAGGCAAAGGTCAGGAATTATGACCCTGACCAGTCAGAAGAGGGCAGTCCTCTGTTGGAGGAGCAGGAGGAGACATTTGGGAGGGGCAGGAATGCTAGGGAAGTACTTTGGCCTCCTCCCGAGAGGGATGGGGAGCCATGGATGGTTCTTGAG